ATATTACCTAGTGCGAATTAGAGGAGGTGGTTCCTAGATCACAGATTTCTGGGATATCGCGTAGGATCATGTCATGTTGTGTGAAAGAGCTCTTACTTTTAGTCTTGCCATTTTCCAATTTCCAACAGCCTATATTTATGAGCTTATTGGGTTTGGCTTCCTGAAGCCTCTCCCTTTTTCGTAATTACAGTAAACAAGTTTCATTTATTAGATTATTATTTAAAAAGACATAAACCACAGCAGTTAACAGGGGCTTAAATTTAAGAAACATAGAAACCAAATACATTCTACAGACAGCACTAAAATGAATCACTAGTGTGTGAAATACAATATAAAATACAATTGCCAACTATAAATAATGTCTCTAGGCCAGGGCCTAAAACTGGCAGTGACTTCCAACAATGTTAATACACCTGCTGCATGTGACTGGCTCTCCTCTAGAGGTCACCAGGCAAGTAACACCGGCAGCACCCTGCTCTCACTGCACAGACGTAAAGAGTCTGCTGTAGTTAAATAACAGAAAGCCAACTGGCCAGGGTAAGGCCAGGACAAAGGAGAGCAAAGAACAAAAGAACCCCAGGAGAGTTGTGTAGTCTCTGTGCTGACTACCATTGTTTAGCCTACACTTGTGCCCAATCTCAAGGGCTCACTCACTCGCACACAACCACACGAACATTTTGGACTTTAGCTGCTGGCTAAAGTAAATTAACTAGTCCTGCCAGTTTTCTGACTAAACAAATAAATACAACAACAGAGGCTTATTGTTAGGCCCACAAATAAAACAGCACCTTACACAATCAAAGTCCAGAGGAGAATGTAGGTGAAGGTTGGCCAGAGTTGGAACAAAAGGCCATTTCTTCAAAAGCACAAAATCATTCATGACAGGGAACAAGCACCATAATCCACTTGCAGAGGCAACAGAGCCCATGGGAGCAACACAGAACTTCTGGCCTTTTCCGGCAAACAGAAACAATATCCCAGGCCACCACCACTGCATTGTGAAGTGGTAAAAATCTCTGTACAGGGGTGCCCGGTTAGCTCAGTGGGTAGAGCTGGTGACCATGTACCGAGGCTGAGCCTTTGCTGCAGTGGCCCAGGGTTCGAATCCAACTTGCGGCCCTTTGCTGCGTGTCATCCCCTGTCTCTATCCCCCTTCCTGTCTATCTTCAGCTGTCTCTATCATAAAGGCAGTAAAAGCCCCAAAAAATACTTAAAAAATAAAAAAATAAAAAATAAAATCTGTACAGTAATTCATCTACAACCCCATAAGGAGAGCACAACAGCCAACTTACCATGTACATGAGGATGTCTCTGATCATAACCATGGCAGTCTGATGGTCATTCCAGGCCTGATTCAGCGTTTGCAGAAAGTTATTATTTAGAGAGTTAAGGACATCTTCCCGTACCTGAAAATACACAGACAAAATTGAGGTCTCATCAAGTTGTCTCTGGTGTGAATGATAAACATCAGGTCATAAGGACAAAATGAAATGATTTAAAGAGGAGAGAGACGAGTTCATAACTGTTATGGACCTGGTCGCTGTCTAGACATGTAATTTCCAAAGTTGTTTATTTTGCAACAAAATAATTACACATCCTTCAAGCACACACTTCGCTGTTAAACACATCTTAGTTTACCAACAAGAGACAATTCTGACTGTAGCCTGAAGAATGGAAACTTAAGTGACACAATAGAAATGAAATATCACTCACATTTATTTTATTTCTTATGTTCTGTTAATTTTCAAAGAAAGAGCTGCATTAGAGATGAAAATATTTTTTTACTTTGTTGATGAGATGCTCGGTGACAACTTCCCTCAGGCCTGTGTAGAGCTTCTCCCCATGCTTGTGGAGCACCATGGTGTAGGCATTCCTGTACAGCTCCTCAAAGCTTAGCCCACTGTTGTTCTTCCTCTGTATCTCCTGGATGGCATTCTTTAGAAGGTCCCAGATGTTGTTCACATACTTCTCATCCATTGTCATCTAGGAGGGACAGAACGATGTAAGCGTGTTTACGTGAGAGATGTGTATTCTTCATTATTTCCACGCAGTATAAGCAGATGACCACCTTAATGTCAAAGATTATTCTTTGCAATGCAAACACACACACACTCACTTTCACACTAAGAAAGCAATTCCTACCTTGCCACACATACAGCAGACATATTGATGGTTTTAACAGTAAAGCTTGGACATTAAAGTGCAGCAGCAATATGCAGTAGATATGCCGCATTTGCGTTACTTGCAATTCTCTCTCATACAATGCTAGTAAAGCCAAGTGATCCCTGGATTATTCTGCTGTCAGATAACTTTGCAAGCATATAAGAGCAACCGGTTTTGAGCTTTGGTTAACCGATGAAGATCAAATCACTATTTTATAGTTGTGTAGTCTTAACAGAATTCCTCATTCAATCATGTGGCAGAAATGGAGCCATAAACAACCAATCAAGGAAGTAGCCAGGAGAAAATTAGATATAGCCCCACGTGGTATTATTAAGGTTGTGACACAAATCAAAAAACAAATGACAAATGTATTTATCGGAGTGTCCATAATGAATAAAGTCAGTAAACCAAGAGATTAAGTCCTTGGGTTTTGACACTACTCCCAAATTGTACCTCCAAATCTGTACAGAGAATGGAGAGAAGGTAGGAAACCAGTAGAGAAGTATGTCAAACTACTCTTCCACCTTTGCAGGGTGGAAAGTTCATTTTTTAAAATGTGTACATCTGACAGCTACTTACAAATAAATGTTGACCACCAGCCACTCAATTGTAAATCCTTACTTTGTGTATGAAATCTACCAGACACTTTCATACTGTACCAGCATTTGACTGGTGAACGGTACTTTTTTCCCAGCCTGCTCTGATGTGTTCATCTTTCAAACTGAAAACACTGTAAAATACTTTTTGCATACAGTTAAAAAAGGTTGACAAAGGGAAAGCATTTTTTTTTTATCATGACATGAGATTTGCTAAGCCGTAGTAGGAGTAAGGTAGGGTAAGCTAGGGTAGCTCCATGTATACCTAATCAAAAACCCGATCACAACCTGACCTGAAGGAAAGACTTTTAGATTGTCTGCCAAACATATAAATCTAAGAAAGTAGGGATGCATCTATCAGCGGCAATTCCAACTATATTGTGCGGATCGGGTGTCAGCGACTGATCAGTGACTGATCCACATTTAATACAGTTTATCTGTCAATGTCATTATAAAATTCAGCTATCACTTACAATCAATCATTTGAATGACCTGCCAACTCTGCTTTTGACCTTGTTTTACTTTACATTAAAATGATCCTGATTAGCTTCATGCATGAGGTATACAGATTTTGAATTTGGGGAATAGACAGCACTGGTATCAAATTAGTAATAAATAGAACCAGTATCAGAAGAAAATAGATGCATGTAGTGAAACTCGCTTGACAGATAACCTGAATTTTCAGATTACAGACTGAGCATGTCTCAATAGCTATTAGAAAAACAAAAGCTGTAATACGATCAATTACTTTTACCCCCTTAATTCAAGTGCCTGATTATATTGACTAAAACCACCTGGTAGTGGCTACACTGTGGACTAATAGGCTGATCTTGTACTTGCATATAAGATCAACATTTAAGAAAGGATTAGCTGTATTCACTCACTCATCTGCTCACTGACTCATTCTGCCAGACACCCACTCATAAACCTGCATATCCAACAGAAGAAAAATCATTTGTGTTTCACACTAACAATCTCAACAAGGAATGTAAGGGTGTTGCAAGGGCTATTAACTTCGACGAAACTGCATATAATACATCTGTACTCATAACGGAGATGAACTGAGTGGGTGAAAATGTAAATCAGTGATCAGCGGGTGTTGCTGAAATAATTGTGTGACAGCACTACTGGTAGTAGGGAGCTGGGTTGTCAACAACATGAGCTAACTAACGTTACTCAAGTTACCTAAAGCATGTTTACAGTAACGTTAGTCTCCTGTTAGGCTGAAGTTGCGTTAGCTCTGAAGCTAACACTACATGATAATGTGTTAATTGCCACCTATAACAGCATACGTTTAATACGCTGTGCAATGAAATACCGACAGCCAAAAGAGCTTGCCGTTACCATAGCGTAATGATACTTGCTGACTGACTGCAACTTAGCTGGCGTCAAGTCAGCTAACATATCAGGCCTGCTGTTTGGCTAGCTACTACTTGCTAGTGTGTCGCTAAGGAACTTTCCTCACATATGCTAACATTAGCTCATGTCGATAGCATTTTCAAAGCAAGAAGCGAGCTAACGTTAAATTAACTGAACTGTTAACGTAGCGAATGTTCTTCAGGTCATTTCTCAAGCTAATAGCAGTTTTTACAGGACAATGACATGTTTTTCTCGTTTGACCAGCTAGCTAGCAGGCAGTTGCTAGCATAAAGACCTGTCATCCCCGGTACTCGAGTCTCATAGTTAGCGTCTCAGCGCCCACAGAGCCGGGTAAAGACTTACAGGAAAGGCTCGTATCCTCATCTTGGTGTCCTTCTTGGTGCCGCCTTTGAGGTTGGACATGATTAGTTAGAACGACTTTGGTTTCTAAGTTGACTTTTAAAGACTACATGAAAGGCAGCTGCTAGTTTGCTCTCTACGCCAGGAAAGCGGCAGGGAAACTCAGTGACCTCCCCTATGGGAATTAGGTCGGTCTGTATGTCTGTTATGTTGTTGTCACTCGCTCTCTTCTCAGTGGTTTTGAGCTAATGTTAGCTTGTATGCAGTGATGGCGGACGGCTGTACTCCACTGCGCAACGCCGAGGTCTCGCGAGAGTAATGTCACTCCACTGACAGGTGCATTCCACAGGTTGATAACTGCTAACGTTAACGTTATATCACAGCGGTTACACTGACTCGCATTACATTTGATATTAATATTTCGACTGCATGATGTAAGTATTTAAAAACTTTTTAGCGGGAAAATAACTGGTTCAACATTTAAAAAAAAAAAAAAAAAAAGACTGACAAGAACGCACCGGAGGCAGAAAAAAATACTTTATTTTGTGACTGTGATGCACTATTTTGCCTCAGGTGCCAAAATAGAGTTAATGCTAGGCTATCCCTCAAGAGCTGGCACTTTCTTTATAACAGAAAACATAGTGTCAGATACAGTTGGACACCATTGCTAATTTTTTTTTATTTATTTTTTTTATCTCTGCTGTTTTCCAGTCCACCGCTCACTTTTAGCATCGTCCAACTTCCGTTGATGGACCAACGGCTGGAAGATCGAATATCTCCTCACTGTCATGACGACGCTCTCTGAATGAGAGAAAGACAAAAAATAACAACAAATAGGTGAGTCCACGGAACTCTTATGAACAATTAAAGACACTTACATTTAAGGATATTAAAGCAAACAGTCTATGGGAATAACTACATATTAGGCTATCAGAATAATAAACCAATAACCTATTTTAGAGTACAATAAAGCCACAAAAACTCAAATTACCTATCACATACGCACATTTTACAGTCTAATGTGTGTATTTCTGCGATTAAAAAACATTTAACTATTTCATCTACTTTCATTTTATGTTGTCATCTTTGTTTCACTTTGTTGGTAGCACTGGGTTTTTGGAATATACAATATATGTATAAAAAAATTGCAAAACATGTATTTAATATATAGGACTATGTGTTTAATTTTATTATATATATATATATATAATTAATTTTAAGCAATACAAGTATTTAAAAAAAGCAGTTTCTTCTATTTGTTCTTGCTTTTACTGGATTACTCAATACATAGTGCTAATACTAAAATACTATTAACAATTCAAGTCTACCTCTGCATTCTGCTGTCATGATGGGAACCGTTGCATTCTTTCGGAGATTAGCTCCAGCTGTCCTCCTCAGGCCCATGTTCTCCAGCTCCAGCTTTCTGATTTCCCACCGCATCGCGCTGATCACCTGGATAAGCTTCTTTTCGCTGTCCATGGTACTGACCACACACATTTCCACCCTGCCTGCATCTCTCTCAAAGGCATCCAACTCACCACACGACCCCATCTGACCTGTAAACATCCAGTCTATATCTGTATATAGCTGTAGACATGCACCATCTACTTGTATTTCATTCAAAGTTCATTTCAAAGCTCAACATTGGGCCAACAAAGAAATAGGCAGCCAATCAAGAGCGGCAATCTAGTCTGTCATCAGACCATTGATAGTCTGGTCACATGATGTGGAGAGTGTTATTTTCTTCTTAGTGATCTGATGCCTACCACTTTCCCTCCTCCTGTTAAATATTCATCTACTCTGTCAACGTAAAGCAACAATAGGTACTTGGGAGAGGCGTAGCCTTTGGTCTAACAGTCTGTGTCCTGGTGATAGGGTGAAGTGCTTCTCCTTTAAACTTCTCAATGTGGCTAGAATGTGTAAAGATGGACATAGAAGTTATCAACGTTTGTTTAACATCTTTTTGTTTTCTATCTAAACCTTCAGTTCCTTCTTTCTGAAGACCTGTAGGAGCCATGTATTGATTTGTATTGTGTTCCTCCGAGCCACAGGTGGCGTGTTGTGTTGTACTGTGTTGTAAAGGCCCAGGCCGGACCCAGGTAATTTAAGTTCCAGTCATTCATGTATCAGGTGTTGTTAATTTGCGAAGAGGAGCAAATAGTTTTTACCTGTGCTCTGGTTACGTTGCTGCGTTTTTATTTTATTGTTTTTGTGTTACTTATTGGAAGTGATCAACAGACTCTGGAGGGCGCATTCAAATAAACACAAATCTGAAAACGGCATACACAGTTAAGACAGAGTGAAAAATAAGTGTAATGAACTAAATGACTGCTGTGTCTACTATATAAATATTTAGTATATGACACTTTACAGTAAGAACACCTATGTATTATATGTGCAGCATTTAGAGGAGATAATATGGGTCAGAGAGTGTCTGTTTAGTGCTGCTCTGCTGCTCTCTAGTGTCTCAGCATCATGCTTAAAGAGTAACCTAACACCAAGCAGAAAAGCACTATTTCACTGACCTCTTCTGGTTGAAAATGTCACGTCCGTACGACCTCTGACTACAACTTACAGTGATGTCAACACTTTAGTGCCTTAGCTCCCCTTTAGATTGCCTCATAAATGTGTGTCATGGAAACTGGTAGAGCGCCTTCTGATGCAGTTTAACATATCACCAAGGGATGTTTCCGATTTTCAGTGTCAGTTTTCAACTTTGCTGCAGTAGATTTGTGTCTGTCTTACCAAAGCTTAGTGTACAGCTTACACTCAAAGGCCTTCTACAGCTGCTGAGGAGATGACTATGGGATTGTACTACCCGAAGACAGGCCAATAGCCTCTTTGTTGTGTATGGTACCTTAATTGCCACACATTATACATGATGCTACCCGTGCTTGCAGTACTCAGTACTCAGTCTTCATATTTGGCCATCTTCCTCTTGAAAGCTGGATGCTTCTTGAGAATAATTAGAGGACAAAGCTTGACCACCCATCATGATGTTTGTCCTCAGCCTAGCCATGGCTTGTGTAACAATGATACATTATAGAAGATTACTTACAGAATTGCATATGAGAAAATGCTGTGCATTGCCTTTTTCAGGTAACATCCTCTCTGATATTGGCAATAAGGTTGTTGTCATGTGAACTGCGGTTCTGGAACAGGAAGTGTATTCATAAGTCATGTGATATTGTGGTGGGTTAGCTCCGTGTGAAATAGCCACTTTATAAATTCCGCCTGACAGTTGTAGTGCATCTAACTGAGAAAATTGCATATCATGGGCAAATCACAATTTACTTCATCTTACAAACATACAATAAAACACACCTATATCTAATCTTGGGTTATATGTGAAGTCCTCATTGATTTGTCCTATCATTGCAGACAGACGTCCATGACACACATTTGAGAAGCCGAGCGTAGCATAAAGATGCCTCTTTGCTTGCGTGGTGTTTTTACATGATATTACATACTCTAAGTTCCACCCATTCCACAGTGTGGTGTGTAAGCTGTTTGTCTGCTGATTACAACCCTCTCAGCAACTGAGAGATAAACTCCACATGCTGCTGTAGAGACAGCTAACATGAGATTCTGACAGCTTACATGATAGAAATGCATTGTGATTGTCGAAATGAAGACGAAGATGTTTGTGTAAAGTGATGTTACATTAACTGTGATACATTACTGTGGCCGGGCACATACAAAGTCATCACTTTCAGCCGCAGTAACAACAACATTGTTTTTAAAAAAAAATACATTTAACATTTACTTTTGCCACCTATCATACTCAAAATGCCCAGCAGGTGGTGTGTGCTGTATTGTGAGTTTAACAAAATTAGGCCTAATGTACTCAGCTTCACTCCATGTGCAAGCACATGACATCCCCCAGCAGCAGGGTAAACCCAAAGGACAACAACAGTATAAAGTGGTGCATTTGAAAGCAGAGGTAATTGATTTTTTGCAAGTGATTACAGAAGCAGAATTTAATACACTGCTTTTGATTTCAGCTTTTTTCATCGCTGCTACTTGCTTTGCAAACATGACACCAGAAGCTCAGGACAAATGCAGCTCCCTTCAGAATCCCGCACTCATCATTTTAGCCAAGTTGCTGTTGACCTGGCGCCAACACCACAAAACAGGACAAGTAATTTAATTTGCCACTGCTGTCGACCTTGAAGCAGGGAATGTAGGCTACCAGAATCCCAATAGGGAGGCTTGAAGAAAACGTCCTAGGAGCTGAAAGAAGGGTCACGCTGTTGTGCCTGTAGCATCACACACTGTCTCCTCACCTCTAACAAGAATACTTTTGTCCTTCAGGTTTGCATAAGGAGATTGAAGAGATTTGTCTGTTCTTATTAGGGCACTACCTATGACAGATAATGTGATAATGTTAATCAATTATTTAACTTCACCATTGTAATTATAGTCACACGATCCTGTATATAACATTATAACCATATAATAATCACATTCTAATGATACAATCATAAAAGCATAAAGTTACAGTCAAGGTTAAGCGTTAACAGGCCGGTACTGTGCTCTACTGTTGCCCTTTTCATGGCATAAAATCTAAAAAATGACAAGTATGCAATGCTTATGCTTCCCCAAAAATGTTACCCTCCTCAAAGTTGAAAATACGGCAGTTGCTCTCAGGGATGTTAACTCCATCATGGCAGCATTATGCCAAAACACCAATACTGACCTAATCTCAGTCAATATGTACCGCCACGTAAGCTTTACATGTCACAAACAAGAATAAGATTATGACTCACTGTATATGTCACAATGAAGTGTCACCCCCCTATAAGATAGGCGCTAAATAAAACAAATAGCATAGGAGTGCAGGAGAAATTAGGTCACATCTGCTTTTATTATGTGATACATGCCAAGGATTTCTTATGGTGCTTCTATTAGTCATGTTTACATATCTGAGGAGAGATATGTCAAGACGTGATATTTTGATTCGTTGGCGTCTCTGTTGATAAGATCATGTACCTTAAAAACTGGCTGCGTTTTTCGAAGTCTTGCAGCAAGTTAAAAATGACACTGGTATTTCAGAATTGACTTGGTCATTGTGTGTCTGTGCAGCCATTTTGTCATTGTGACTTGTCACCACAATGACAATGATGATATGACATTACGAGGTTAGATAAATGTTCGAATCCCTGAAGTAAAATAAGTGCTCTGTTACTTTGTAACATGTTAGTAATGCCTTATGTGCAGACACATCCCCGATCCCATCTCTCATCACCCAGAGGGAACAAATGCTCCAATGTCCTCTTCCAGCCATGTGATGTGATGTGATCTGATCGTAATTGCTGCCATAACTTGTTGCCCTATCGAGGTGACACCTTAAATCACCCTGGTGAAAATATCCGGGGTCAGAATTCAATATTGGTCATAAAATCTAAATATAAGGCCCCAGAGACTAAGCTGTTTCACAGAGCTCTGCGGTAGCTGTCTGGCAAAAACACACATTGGGTAATAAGGCTTGAAAGTGGAGCCATTACTGCTTACAAGAGGGCTTCTGCTATTAAGATTATCAGTGTAATATTTGTGAAATGTTGTAATAACTAGGAAGAAGCTGTGTTAAAGGACTTTTTGGATCCCATGTTATGCGTCCTTGTCCTCCAGCATGCCAGTGTTTCAAATAGAGACCTGTAGGTTTTTTCAGCCACTCTGCACTGTCTTTAATGACATAGCTCATAGCCACAGTCCCATCTAACAGCCTTCATTATGACTCAGTAATCATAGGCTGCATTTGTTTTTCTTTTCCTCTCTACTCCCTCTATCTCTCTCTCTTTTTTTTTGTAAACCTATAGGCCTCTGTCTCTCTTCCCCCCTCAGTTTGTCCTCCTCTGAGCAAGACGAATCCAGCAGTGAGCATGAACCACTACTGGAGAAAGTGTTTGTTGACTTTTCGGCACAGACTGGTGCTCTGTAGGGGTGCAGTCTGTTATTTATGGCTCAGGCTTATGTGATTGGCTGAGGAGAGATATAATTATGTCTGGCACTCAGCTTAGCTAGTTTTAGAATTACAATAGGTATCATGTTGAGTTCACTGGTTGCTATGTTACTGAGTGGAGGGTCTTGCACTGTATAGAAAATGTTTTTGACATAGACCTATGTCTGGTGGTTGAACCCTTTTTCCGTACTTACCCTCACCCCAATGAGGCATAGTCACTTATAACTGCAGGCAATATAGTGGTTCATAATAAAAATAAATTAATTCCTGATATTGTTATATGAGACTAGACACTGTCTGGGAATTTTGGCCCTTTGTTACTTACATTGGAAGCAATTTGGCCTTCTTAAAGGCCAGCATTAGCAGGAGGAATGATAACAGCAGGCAAAAACTGTTTCAGTGTTCATGTAGGCACTAGAGTATTGCTTTCAAATCTCTCGCTATAGCATAAATGTTGTTTCTTGGAGTTGCATGACTTGCAGTGTACAGTGTGGTAATTTATCACATCTCAAAAAGTGTCTATAAATATCTTCATCGTCCATTTCATTTTCAGTATGCTATATGATTTAACTGGTATATGATCAGTACTGTGTATTTGATATTTGACTACATCACCTGTTCATTTTTAAATAAACAGCAGCGTAAGGAACCCAGATTGGAATATTTAGCAGAGAAGATGAATGACGATTTGTTGTTTATGATTAATTCACTTCTGTAACTTCTGGATGATTGGCTGTCATCTGAACGTACCGGCAAGACAGGTACAACTTAAATACCCTGATAAGACTGTAATTTAACATTTCATTGATGTCACTCGGTACTTAATAGCCTCTAGTTATGAAGCATGCTGGGGTGAAGACAGTCGCTGAGCTCATCATTCACATAAATGATGTTAGATGGTAGAAGGATTTCCAAGGAGCTGTGAAGCTTCCCAGTGAACTGCACTATATATGGATGTGTCAGATATGGAAGAAGCGGGATAAACAACTCTAGACAACCACCTTAATATTTGGTGGAGGGGTAAAACAATAACGGTTATTTAAAAATTATAATATGCATTTCTTGTGAGGGGAGATTAATTGAATTAATAGTTAATAGACAGAAGAGGCATTAATAATTCTTTTTATAAAAATTGTTACAAATGTATATTGCCCTAGTAGCCTTTTATCTCCTCATTATGCATGGTGGTCAGACAGGGACCTTGAATGGACTAACGGGATTATGTCAGTTTGAATCGTTATTCCACACACTAGCAGTAAGACGGCAGCCATGTATGAGGTGGGGAGGTGAAGATAAGACTTCATCTCCCCACCACAGTTAATCCCATTGTGCGTTCCATACCATGACTTATGCGATCACTGTCTTCATTAATACATGTGTAGTCATATCACAAGTAGAAAATACAAGGATGGGAAGGGAATAGAGGCTCAATGAGTAATCCTCATCTAATCCATTTATTTTAAATACAAATGCTGCCATGGTTAATAAATAGTGACGTGTCTGTCATTTTTATGAGTACCGCTGCCTTGCCCAGTCTCTTTTTACTTTTTA